TGTCTGTAGTCATTTACGTCCCCAATCCCTCATGCAAGTACATACAACACCATCCAACTCTGAAGGCAGAGCAGGGAGCAGCAGTGCTGTCTGGATACCCAGCTCTGAATACAGAACTGCAGCTCTTGAGAGGTCATCAAGTCCAGTCCTCTGCCCTGACAGCAGGACCAAGCAACATCTACATCATCCCTGATAGATGTCTATTCAACCTGCTCTTAAATATCTCCAGTGATGGAGATTCTACAACCTTCCTAGGCAATTTATTCCAGCATTTAACCACTCTGAGGCTCTGTCTAGACTTCAGGCTTCTTTTGGAAGAAGCTTTTCTGGAAGAAATCTTCAGAAAAAACATATTCCGAAAGAGTGCATCTATGCAGCAAAAGTGCATCGAAAAAGCAATCTCTTTTTTCAAAAGATAGCGTCCACACTGAATAGATGCTATCTTGCATTTAAGCTGTGATTGCTATGGACAGAGTGGCCACCAGGGCACCTGTGCTTTTTCCTCTTTCCTCTTCTTTAAAAAGAGCTCTCTCGCCCCTGTCAACAGACTCCTTTTTCCGAAAGAGCTCTTTTAGAAAAAAGGCTTCTTCCTCATAGAAAGAGGTTTACCAATGTCGGAAAAAACTCTTTGTTCTTTTGCTTGTTTTCTGAAAGAACATGATTGTAGTGTGAACATAAGTGAGTTTTTTTTTTTTGAAAAACAGCTGTTTTTCTGAAAAAAACCTCTGCAGCATAGACATACCCTGACAGGAAGTTTTTCCTAAAGTCCAACCTAAACTTCCCTTGCTGCAATTAAGCCCATTGCTTCTTGTCCTATCCTCAGAGGCTGAGGAGAACAATTTTTCTCCCTCCTCCTTGTAACACCCTTTTAGTACTTGAAGGACATGATGAACACAGTTTAGAAGACATCCTTTTCCTTTTGCTGATCTCACAGGTATCCCTTTGCTGTGATAATGGATTTGTCTCGGATGATAAAAGTTTAATTTTCTAATTCTGAATTTGAACATTTTTTTAATCCTTCCAGTGAGGGCTCATGCAAACAAATCATTAAATTTATTGCAAACCTAAATGTACCCATGCAGATTATGGCAAAGAGTTAACCTGAAAAGTACTTTCAAAATCATAAATAGGCAGCAGAAAACTTGAATTCTTGAGCACAAAGAAGCTAATGTAGCCACGTAGTAGCCAAGGAGGCAAATCAATCAAGCATGAGGAAGTCAAAATGGATTTGGGGTCTCACATTTTTTGTTACTGTTTAGTCTAACCTGAAGTGCTAAGACTAACCAACACTAACCAAATCAGAATAGAAGAGACATCCTGGGAAAACAGTTTTGGAAGAACTCGACTATATGTCAGCCCACATTATGGCAGTATTAAAATGTGCCCATAATCATCTTGATTACTTACTTTTACGTTGTATCCCTGTCCTGCACTTCTATTTGTTCAATCATGGGGGATTGTCTAAGTCAATGTTTCTTAAACTGTGTTCTGTGGCACACCAGTGTGCTGCCAGGCAGTCGGAGGTGTGCCGCGGAGAAGAACAGAGTTCAAAATGGCCACCCTTAAAGGGACGGGTGACTTTTTCCCTGCTCAATAACTTTCCTCTCAACCCCATTTTTCTTTTTTTCATTTTACTCAATAACTTTCCCCCCGACCCTATTTTTTTTCCCCTCAACAAAAAGTCCTTAGTCTTCCCCAGAAAAAAAATTGATTGATGTTCTTCTGTCTTACAAAGTTTAAGAAACACTGGTCTAAGTCTCCTTATGGAGCTAAAGTCCCATAATTGCTATGAACTTGTTCACCACTCCTCAAGTTGCCACCACTCAGAACAAACAGGTCAGACCCAGGGTGCACAAAACATTTAATTCCTATATTTCACAATCTGCCAAGACTTAAAAAAACATGCTTAATACTTTCAATAAATTCTGTCCATATTGGTAAACTTTTCTGAGCACTGCTCAGAGAGCAGTGAACACAGAGAAACATGTTCTAACACTTTAAAAACTCGTCATCTCCAGCCTGATCCTGGCCTGCATATTTATTCCTGCCTCTGGAAATTTCCACTACATGCATCTGACAAAGTGGGTCTTTGCCCACGAAAGCTTATGCTCCTACACTTCAGTTAGTCTATAAGGTGCCACAGGACTCCTCGTCACTTTAAAAATTATCATAGATTTTTCTGATATGATACAGAAGTTGCTATTCAAGTTTTACAAAATTCTGGGAACTGTAATGTTAGAGAAACAATATAACTGAACACATGCAAAAATACACATTTGTCTGACTGTAGTGTGACACCTTGGTAGGGTTGTCCAGCCTCTAGTTTATGACCAGAATGTTTCAGCTACAGCAGACTAACACAGCTACATTTCTATCACTGGTCAAAAAGTGACCCTGGTAGCTCAGGACAACACCACTGAACCACTGAAAGTCTGGTCAGCCCCAGGCAAGCTGGGGCATGGGAGGAGGCTCGGGGTGAGAGTCCCTGACATGTCCTGTGGCTTCTAGAGCAGAGGTGGCTAGGGAATATCTGTGCACTTCCCCCAAATGTTGGCTTTGCTCCCACATCTCCCACTGATTGATTCTGGGCCAATAGAACCTGCAAAGCCAGTGTTCAGGACTCCACAGCCTTCCTGCATCTCTGCCCCCACAGCTCCCATTGGCTATGGTTCTCAGCCAATGAGAGCTGTGTAGCCAACACTCAGGAGCTGTACATGGAACATCTTCAGCCAGCCCTGTACCTAGGAGCCACAGGAACATGTCACCTCTTCCCAGGAGGCACCTAAGGTGAGCACTGGCCATACCTCATATCCCTTCCTCTATCTCAATCCCTACCCCAGCCCTGAGCCCCCTCCTGAACCCAAACACCTCATTTCCAGCTCCCACAAGAGCCCTCATCCCCTGCATGGTAATCCCCTACCACATCTCAGAGCCTCCTTCTGCATCCAGAACCCTCATTCCTAGTCCCATCTTGGAACTTGCATATACCCCCAGTCAGAACCCTCAGTCAAAGGCTTCACCCCCTCCTGAATCCCAAACACTTGGTCCCAGCCAGACCCACCTCCTTAACCCCAAATCCCTCATCTCTGAGCCTACCTCAGCGCCTGCACCCCCATCTGGAGCCTTCGCTCTTTCCTGCATACTCTAACCTGGTGAAAATGCACAAGTGAGCCAGGGTGTGGGAAAGTGATTAATGAAAGGAGGGGGACCCTGGGAAAGGACACAGAGATGGGTCAAGGATTTAGTTTTCTGCAAATAGAAAGCTGACAACCCTAGGGAGTTGGAGTAAGTTTGACATAGGAGGCTCATGGTTCTCCAAAAGCATGAGGCAAGAGAGTACAGTCCATTATAACTTTGCAGATGGTGGTCCATAGTAAAATTAAAAACTGCTGCTACAGTGGGAAAAACTAAAGCATACCAGTGTACAAAAGGGTACAGTATATTCATCCCTGAGTGGAAACTGAGTTATGTGCATACAGTGACGGGAAAAGCGCTTATAATATATTGGATACAAATCTATAATCGAACATAAAATACACATTTTCAAAATAAATACATATACCCAAATATAAATACATGTAATATATTAAAAAAAAATGTGTTCTAAGCAGACATTATGAACTGTACACTTAACTGAAATGTTTCTGTTTCTATTTACCTGGTTGAATATGTGTGTATGTATGTGTTTTTACATACTGAAAAATAACTATGACTGTCATGCACTTTCCTTACAACTCGCTCACACACTACATTAACACTTCACATTTTTATATTATTTTTAAAAAGAGAATGGAAAACCAACTGACTATGGAATGTTGAAATAACCCTCAGGGTTGCAGAACATGCAGTACAGTCCCTAACTTCATACATAGAATTAGAGCCTTGAAATAAAAAGCCAAGGTAAATTCAGGTCAAAGTGGTCACAGTTTAAAAGATTCAAGTTACAGCTAAAACTCTTAAACTACTGAATCACAGTCATGCTGTGTTTCAATGTCTTTTTTTATTTGGAATTACCCATATTCAGTAAAAGTGTTGAGGCCTCATCTACTAGCTATGACTGCTCAAAAGCCCAAATAAAACTAGAGCACCTCTGAACAAACAATGACTATGTATTTAGGGTCCTGATTTTCACTGTCGAGAATGAGCATACACATGAACATGGCAGGTAAATGCATCTGTCAGGAATCAGTACCTACAACAGAGCCAGTCTCTGGGCAACCTAACAAATGCATTTGGACTGTAGAGAGTTGCTTGTTTGGCTATGCTGCCTGATTAGTTGGAGAAGTCCAGAGACTGGTTCTTATGGGCACCACCAGCTGTAGTTGAGTGGTTCCTCAAAGTATTTGCTGTGTTAGCTCCTGCCTTGTAACAGCCTTACTCAAGCCTTACTCCACAACCTTGCCTCACTCCAGAACATGGCTCTGGCCTTCTGCTTTGATTTCTGACTTCAGTTCTGACCCTTGTTATTGGTATCTAGCTTCTGACTCCACCTATGACCCTGGGCTTTTATTTTTGGTGAGTGACTCCTGCTCCAACCACTAGGCACAGCAGTCCATCTCTCAGACATGGTAGAATGTGCAAAAAGGCACATATTTTTGCATATGGGCATATTTATGGGAGCTTTTGCTTGTTTGCAACTTTGGACCTCAATTTTGAAAATGCTGTATCTAATCTCTAAAAAAAAAAAACCACAGAAATCTGGACAAACTAATCCACACTTGAGAGGTTTATGACTAGAACTATTGCTGCTGAAGTCAATGAAATCACTTGTATTATCTTCAGTGACCCCGCCTGAGGTCTCTAATCATTGAAGAAATAGACAGACATAACATACGAAAGATCAACACACCATATGAAATATAAGGCATTATAAGGAAAAATAGAGACCCTATTCTAGTTTTCATTAAAGAGAATAAGTATATCAGTTCTTTTCTGTATGTATTCTAAGAAAACAAACATTATATATAAACAAATATGGGAAAGCTCTATTATCAACATACCTCATTTAATTTTAAAAGCATTCATGCCTCGGATTTTCACAAATTAACGTCCTCGTCAACAAAAAGAGATTGGAAAAATATCCTGTGGACTATTTAAAACACATAGATTACTGCTGTCATTAAATAAACTGAATACTACCTCCTCTGCCTGATTCACTATTTCACAATATTTGAAAATTGTTTTTGTTTTCAGTTCTTATCTAGTGCAGGAGATGGCATAGGCGCTATTTCAAAACTTCATGATATCAGAAGTGTTTGTTGCTATTATTCTACTAAATATTACACTTATCTTATCAAGGGGCTTGTGTTATAAATAGCTTATAGTGTTTAGAAGTGCAACAATTAAATGATAAATTAATAAAAGAGACAAGCAAAATATGAATCATGGCACCACTAACATAATTAACATAAATTAAATAGCGCCACAGATTTTCTGTTTACTGCAGCTGTTATATAAAACAAGAGTACCTACTTTATTCATTTGTTGGCTTGTATTTTGTTAACAATAAAACTATATTAGACAATGCCCAAAAGAGAATAAATGAAGGAACTCAAAAGTAATCATAAAATATTCATTGCAAAGTCTCTGTACAAGACCTGAACATAAACATCTCCCATAAAAAATCAGAAAAACAGATGCAAATGAATTGGTAGCTTCACACACAGAGCAAGAAAGCTAAATATCTTCCATGGGCACAGACAAGAGCAAGCATAGCATTATTATTATTGCTACATTAGAGCCCTACAGACCCATACATGACATTTACAAATGTGCTATAGTTAAAGTAGTCATCATGGTGTGGCCACCACAATTAAAGATCTCCTGATGTTTCCATTGAAAATCCTTACTTCCACCAATCTGAAATAAAATTCAGTTCACTAAAAAGTTTGGAATGCAAGGCTAGCCTGGATGTGATTTTATTTCTATATTTGAAAACATATTTATTTGTTTTGTTATATTTTGTCTATTCTATTTTGTTACTATACCACATCCATTGGTGTGATACTTGAACATCTGCCATTTTTAACACTAGATATAATATAACAGGGGTGGCCAAATGGTGGCTTGTAAGCCTCATGTGGCTCTTTTATATCTGAAATGTGACTCCTGATGCCCTCCATTCTCCACCTATCAGATTGGGTGACGGAGCTCTGGACATCTGCCTTGAGACAGAGTGGTGGGGAGAAGCATCTGAGCAGTGGCATGGGAACCTTTTTATTAGTGGGGTGCTGATAGACAACCTTGTTACCCTGCCCAACACTCTCCAAACTGGAGGCAAGTGCAAAAGCAGGAGTGCAGCCCTGGGGCTAGCAGCTGGAACCCGGGGAGGGAGGGACCAGAAGCCAGGACCCTGGGTAGTGGGTCATGCATCAACTAAGGACTGGAGTGGCTGCCCTAAAATTGGTATGGGGGACCCAGATGGGACCTCTGTGTGTGTGAGCTGGCTGTGGAACCCTGGCTAAAACCTGGGGGTACTGCAGCATCCTCTAGTTCTCATGCCTGTTGGGCTCATGGATTCAGTCTTGGTGATTCAGTAGGAGCCCCAAGCCTCAGCAGGCATCTCCCATGGGGAAGATTGTCATATGTGGCTTGGAGGGTCAGTAAGTGTGTCTACTAACAATTAATGCAACTATGCATTTATTCTAAACTAACTATAAAAGATCAAGTCCTGGTTTTGAAGTAAATACATTTTGTGAAACAGATTTTTACATTCCAAGAAGATAGGATTTTTCTTTGAGTAAGTTAAGACAATGAAACAAGAACAAGCAAGTAAAATGGACCATGTCCTGCCCTGCCTTTGGCACCCTAGGGTTGCATTGGGACTGCCAATAGGGATGTTAAAATGTGTTTATTCTTGTAAATGGGTAACCAACCGCTGAAATTTTCAGTGGTTACACATTTACATGCAGGGGACCAGGCAGCAGCTGATGCTTGTCAGGAATTGGCTATTAAGCTGGTTCCCTGTGAGCACCAGCTCCTGCCTGCCCTCCCTCACCCCCTGCTGCTGCCTCTGTATCAGAGGCAGCAGGGGGAGCTGTCAGCTCAGCGGGAGCCGGTATATGTGGGGAGCCAGCTTAAAAGCCTGCCTCCTCCTCCCCTGTGCTTCTGCCTCTGTCTCAGAGGCAGCAGTGTAGTGGACACAGGTGGCTGCATGGGAGAAGGTGCTCACAGGGAGATGACTTATGTGTACCAGCTCTCACCTGTCCACCCCACCCCCACGTTGCTGCCTCTGTATCAGGTAGCTCTGCAGAAGCTGTTATGCGTGGGAAAGGGAGCCAGTTTAAAAGCTGACTCTCTGCATGTACCAGCTCCCGCCTGCCTCCTCTGATACAGAGGTAGTGTGGGGCAGGGCTGCGTGTAACCATGAGGGTTAACCTATGAGCCCAGGCTCATCAGTTAACTGGGTACATGTGACACATTCACAGCTTCTGTTGTCAACCCTCCAGGATTGTCCTGGAGTCTCCAGGAAGTAAACTTTAATTAATTTTGATGGCACTGATGAAACTTCCAAGAATACAGCCAATGAAAATTGGCAACCCTGATTTGCATAGGTATACATTAGAGCAAAATCTGATCCGTTATAGCCTCCATCCGTGGCTGGAGACTCCAGCAGACCAGGTGGGGGCTCTCCATTACTGGACTCAAGCTGCGTCCTTTCCTACCATTGCTTCGCCCGCATGACACACCATTTCTGAGTTCATTACTTCAGGGACCACAGGTGGGTCCTGATGCTATGTGGCATCAGTGGTTGAATCCCCCCTCTCTCCCCCCTGCACACCCCACAGAAGCAGGAGCCACTGGGAAGGAGGAGTGCAGCTGAGTGAGTGCATTCACCCAATGCTCCCGCAGGGATTATGAGGGCACAACTGCTACCATTGCACAGCATCACACCCTCCCCCTGGTTATTCCTGAAGCTGCATTCTTGGCAATGGGGTGCCTTGGGGAAAGAGAGGACAGAGTGATGGTGGGAAGGGGCAGGACTTGAGGGCTGGTAACAGATAAGCATTTCCTGGCCCACTGGGTGTCCCAGGCTGAATTGTATGAGCCTAATACATAACTTTTAAATCTTCAGGTTGGCAGTACTGAACACCTGTTTCTTGTCTTTAGTAACTGTGTGCCTGCTGTCATTCTAGTCTGTGTTTCTGCTTGTTCTGGCTAACCATAAGCAGACCTAGAGGTAACAAAATGCTAGTGGCAACAAGTACTATCAGCACATAAAGAGCAATGGCAAGAAAATAACATATAACAATAGTAAAATTGGTAGCATGTAGCAAGTAACTTTAGGAATGGTTAACACAGATTATGAACCAAAGAGATAGCCATATTTATCTGTATCTGCAAAAACAATAAAGTGTTCTGTGGCATTTTACAGACTAACAGATTATTTGGTTATAAGTATTTGTGGGTAAAAAACACTTCCTCAGATGCAAACCACATCTTGTTGGCTCAGCCCTACCTCTTATTACTGACATTGTAACAAAGTCAGGCTGACAGAGTGGTGAGACGCAGGTATATCAGCCCTAGAATGATAAAGGCCCCTTTCCCTATACATTGAAAAGGGGTTACTTCAGGTCAACATGGGATTCTTGAGTCCAATTCAGAAAGACTGGCATCCAGAAAAAGTGGAAACTGTCAGCAGAAGAGTGTGGGTAACGCTTAGGTCAGTGTAACTTGCTTTGTTCAGAAGGCGGGTTTTTCAGAGTGACATAAGCTATATCAACTTAAGTGGTAGACCTGCCCAAAACCAACATATATGTTATGCTAATTTACAGACAGCCAGAGACTAAAGGATTATAAATGATCTCAGGGATATCTTGTCAGCAATGGTGGAGAAATACTCAGGCTTGTCATCTTGAGAGATATCAACCCACATATCGATAAGAGTGAAGATGCAAACATCTCAAAACTACTCTCATCACTTGCCTCCCTAGGACTTTCACAGGTCATCTCTAGTCCAAACCATGCAGCAGTCACAACTGGGACCTAATTTTTGGTTTAGAAGTAAAAATAGAGGTCACCACAACCCAGCCAAGGTCACTTCACTGAGGAAGTAATCAGATACCATCCAGCATGCAGGCAACAAGAAATCCCAATGATCTTGTTTCAAGTATGAAGACCACAGCATAGAAGTTTCTGCTCTTCTCTTTTCACCCATCACTGGGTATCAGAAAACCAAGGATATCTGTGTGGGCAATGGAGATGAAGGAACTACTTGTGAGACACTGTGTCAGTGGTCAAAATTAGTATAAAATAGTAATGATGTAAAATGGAGTCAGGTTCTCCAACAAATTCCAAAGCCTGATAAAGGACAACAACATCCCACACACAGGATGAGCGCTCATAGATATGGCAAACTGTTACAATTTTACACTGGTGGCCACTGACATATTGCCTCCCAAGTAGACTCTTACTTTTCATTGCCCACACAACGGTCCTTGGTTTTCTGACACCCAGTAATGGGTGAAAAGAGAAGGGCAGAAACTTCAATACCAGTGTATCAGTCAGAGAACAAATATCCTCTTTCAACCATAATAATCTGATCGATATCGAAGAAACCCTCCCTGAATAGATCAGCCTTAGCCACGTTTCACACAGTGTCAAACCTGTCATTCCTGAGTAAACTCACAGAGAAGCTAGCAAAAACCAGTTACAAACTCATCTAACTGAAGCTAACATTCTAGATCCAGTACAATCTGGATTCAGGCAGAAAACAGAACTGAAACTGCTTTGATGGCACTGATGTCTGATCTATCAATGGACAGCGATTAGACATCCATTTGATGCTGTGGCTCATGAGATTACGTTATATCATCTGAGAGAAATGGCAAGGATATAAGGTAATGTTCTTAAATGGTTTGAGTTTTCCCCAGATGGATGTACCCAGTGAATACTGATGAAAAATTGCATCTCCACCAAGAGCTCTCAGTTGTTGAGTTTTACAAAATCAATTCTCTCTTTGGTCCTTTTCAACATTTATATGCAATTATTAGCTGATTTGGTCAAATGAAATGGACTCAGA